GGGCGGGCTGCGGGGCGGGAGAAGGAGCCCGAGCGGCGCTGCGGAGGCAGTCAGCAGGGTCCCCGGTTCCGGCCCGGGGGTCGGTCGTTGCGGTCGGTTGCAGGGCCGGCCGAGTGGGGGAGGGCCGCGGCCCAGGGGAGCCGAGGAGGCCGGGCCGGCTGGCGGGCGGCCCATCTGGTGGCAGGTGCCCACTCTCCGGCCTCCAACTCTCCTGAGCTCCGCCCACTTTGGCCTGGACCCAGCCTCCCAAGGCTAAAAATATTGCCGGAGGCTCCGGGGCCGTATCAGATGGGGCAAAATAGGACACCGAGGTAAAGGCGACAGAGCTCCACGGCCCGGGGCGAGAGCGGAGGCTGCGCCCACCTACGCAGGGCCCAGCAGCCAGCGCCCTCCCCTCTCTGAGCCGGCTAGTGGGGGCTGTAGGCGGTGCAGCCGGTGAAGTTGCAGCACAGTCCAGCAGCTGTACCCAGCCCCTCACTGCCCAGGGGACCTTAAGAGTAGGTGCTGGCTGCCAGGGTCCCTCCCAGGGGTCCTCTAAGCGTTCTGTAAGCATCGGCTGCAAGTTATTACGTGCCAGAGTCGAACTAACCGGGTGAAGACTCCACACTCGTTTTCTGTGAGAAACGTTTCTCTCTTGTTTTGATTCATTTCAAGAGGGCAGACAACCTTCAAGAGAGGCTTACCTGAGGGAGGGGGGAGGGGAGTATGAGCTGATACCAAGGGCTCAAGTAGAAATTGTTTTGAAAATGATGATGGCAACGTATGTACACATGTGCTTGACACAATGGATGGATGGATGGATTGGGATGAGAGCTGTAAGAGCCCCCAATAAAATGATTTTTAAACAGGGAGAGGGGCTTAGCTGCCAGCCTCTATCACCCTCTCAGTTACACAAAATAGATGCCAGTGTGTGCCCCGAGAGCCGGCAGCGTGTGGCCTCGGGGAGTGGGCACACACCTTTGGCTAGCCTGTGTTCTGCAGACAAGCTCAGTGGGAAGCTGGCTCTATCAGGAGGTTGTATGGTGTGCTCTAGGAGTCAGAGCAGAAGAAATTGATTATCCAAAACAAAACAAGGAATGTTGATGGCGTCAGCCTGCGAGAAAACAAGCATCTTCACTCTGGGCAGAATCGCTATGAGGTCAGGCAGGACCGGCCCTAGGAATGCTACAGAGTTTTGCTTTCTGAGGCTTGGTCAAGAGAATGAATTCAAGTTCACAGTCAGTGTTGGGGATGTAGAGCTGGCTGAGAAGCCTGCGTCCTCTGAAGTTGGGCAACTGGGGACTGCAGGGAGCAACGCTGAGGCTTATTGCTAGGGCATTTGGCTAGAGAAGCCCTAGTTTGTATGCTAGGCTTCAGGTGGTGTCCCTCTCTCCAGGTGTGTGTGGAGGCCAGAATGAAGCTTAAAAAGCAGGTGACCGTGTGTGGGGCTGCTATCTTCTGCGTGGCGGTCTTCTCCCTCTACCTCATGCTGGACCGGGTGCAGCGTGATCCCACCCGGCACCAGAATGGCGGAAACTTCCCCCGGGTGAGTCCTTCCTGGTTGCTCAGCTCTTCACTTGCAAGCCACCTGGACCCAAGTTATCCCCCCCTCCCCCAGCAGTAGTATCACTTTGCCCAGGACAGGAATAGCCCTTACCACTAGGCAAGATTTCTAGAAACCTCCAAGCCAAAAAAACAGTGATGACCAGAAGAAAGTAAAAATAGCAACAGGTATGGCCACCCCCTGACCTGAATTCTTAACAGATGTTACTAGTGGATGCCATAGTCTTTCTCACCAAGTCTCGACGCCGTCCAACGCACAGTGGCCCAGGCAGCCAACACCAACCGATGGTTCCAAACACTTCTCCCTGAGCTAGACGGGGATGATGGAGGTCCTTATGTGTGACCTGGCTGTCCTGTAGGCTTGTGCTTCCGGCTTCTTTCCAGAGAACGGGATCGTAGTGGGGCTTCAGGTGGCACATCCCAAGCAGAGATCCTCTGTGCGGCCCAGGGAGCGATGGGTGATGCTCTGGTTTTTTGGCAGAGCCAAATTTCTGTGCTGCAGAACCGCATCGAGCAGCTGGAGCAGCTGTTGGAGGAGAACCATGAGATCATCAGCCACATCAAGGACTCTGTGCTGGAGCTCACGGCCAATGCCGAGGGGCCCCCCGGCCTGCTGCCCTACTACACAGCCAACGGCTCCTGGGTGGTGCCGCCAGAGCCCCAGCCCAGCTTCTTCTCCGTCTCCCCTCAGGACTGCCAATTTGCTTTGGGGGGCCAGGGCCAGAAGCCAGACCTCCAGGTAAGTAAGAGTCCGAGTAGCAGGGACGCACAGTGGCCATGGACGGGGCCCTGAGCTGCTCCCCTGCCTGGCAGATGCTTGCCGTGTCAGAGCAGTTGCCCTATGACAACATGGACGGCGGTGTGTGGAAGCAGGGGTTCGACATCTCCTACAGCCCCCATGACTGGGATGCGGAAGACCTGCAGGTGTTTGTGGCACCTCACTCTCACAACGACCCAGGTGAGGCTCTGTAGGCCCAAGGGGCTGGCGTGTGGAGTGGGCCCTCGATGGCCAGGGTATGTCCAGGAGGGCCAGCTGACAGAGCTGGGCACTGTCTTGGCCCCCCTCAGGCTGGATCAAGACCTTTGACAAGTACTACACAGAGCAGACACAGCACATCCTCAATAGCATGGTGTCGAAGCTGCAGGAAGATCCCCGGCGGCGCTTCCTCTGGGCCGAGGTCTCCTTCTTTGCCAAGTGGTGGGACAACATCAGTGCCCAGAAGAGAGCAGCAGTCCGAAGGCCAGTACCGGCTCAGGCGTCACCAGCGGGGCTGATGGGAATGAGAGAGGTCTTCTGGGCCCTGGGATAGGTGTGCAGGTCTCACCTTAGACTGTGGGTGCCCACACGGCTGGGGGATGCGAGAGGGAACCATCATGGGAGTGGGTGTTGGTAAAGGGGCCAGGCAGGGACGACTTGAGCTTGAGGGCCTTGGGCATTAGGCGAGAGGGCAGTGGCTTCCAGGCAGGAGGCCCAGGTTCCCCTGTCAGCGGAGGCTTGCTCGTGCCTTGAGGCTGAGCAGGAGATCTCAGCGGAGCTCCCAGACTAAGAGGAGCCCAGTGAAGACCCCATAGATTGCAATGATCCCAGTCTGCTTCGCGTGTGGTTACCACAAGCCGGGGCCCATTTGGTGGCGGCCACTAACAGCGGCGGCATCTGGTCTAGAGCCCCCCCATCTGTCCCCCCGGGCACTGCAGGTAGAGTGAGCTTAGCTGCTAACTGAGATGTCAGAAGATTGAGTCCACCCAGAGGAGAAGCAAGCCTGGCCTTCTCCTGAAAAACCAGCCATTGGATTCCCCCTCCCCGGGGTGCAGTTCTGCTCCTGGTACGCCCGGGCTCAGACTCAGTGACAGCAGGCGGCTGAGTTGAGGGGCAGTTACGTGGAGGAGCTGAGGGCTTGGCCTTGGAAGCATGGATAGAGGTCCAGAAAGGAGCAAGCCAGGGCTGCACAGAGGGGCTTCAGGGACAGCGGTTTGTACTCTTGGTCCTGCATTTGATGCACAGGCTCCCCAAGGCTGCCAGCAGCTCCTGGGATTCTGGGATTGGCTGGCTGGTAATTCTGGAGCAGGCCTGGGAAAGAGTCCCTGCCTGGTGCTGAGCATACACCCTCAACCACAGGCTTGTGGGAAATGGGCAGCTGGAGATCGCAACCGGAGGCTGGGTGATGCCCGATGAAGCCAACTCCCACTACTTTGCTTTGATTGACCAGCTCATTGAAGGCCACCAGTGGCTAGAGAGAAACCTTGGTAAGCCCTGGCTCAGGAGGGGAGTCTGCCCCTGTTCATGGACCCAGTGGACATCAGGGTGCTATAAGGGATGGGCCGGCAGGGAGTGACTCCTGTCTGAGCATATTCCACCAGTGTGGGCCCAGTGGGGTGGCATTCCTCCACTGCCTGCTGGGCCCGGAACCAGGGCTCCAGCATCAGGGTGGCCGAGAGGGCAGGCCTGACGTGTTCTGGGCCCCTGCCCAGGTGTGACCCCGCGCTCTGGCTGGGCAGTGGACCCCTTTGGATACAGCTCCACCATGCCTTACCTGTTGCGCCGTGCCAACCTGACCAGCATGCTGATCCAGAGGGTGCACTATGCCATCAAGAAGCACTTTGCTGCCACGCACAGCCTGGAGTTCATGTGGAGGCAGACGTGGGGTAAGGCCAGGTTGGGGGAGGAGCCGCCCTGAGGAAAAGCAGGGCCAGCAGGAATCCGTCCTGCTGCCCTGCAGACAGGAGCCCCCCTATTGCAGTGGGGTGAGCATTGGGCTACTAACCTCAAGGTCAGTCAGCGGTTCAAACCCACCAGCTGCTCTACGGAGGAGTTCTACTCGGTCCTGCAGGGTTGCCGTGAGCCACTGGTGATGCTGTGGCATGGATGGGTTCTGCAGTCCGAGGTCTCTGGGTGGCACGGACAGTTTTCACTCTGCTACTGACTTAAAGATTGGCAGTTTGAATCCACCCGGAAGCACTGCAGAAGAAAGACCTGGCGACTTGCTTCTGTGAAGGTCCTGTTGCCGTCAAGTCCATCTTGACTCATGGCGTCCCGGTGGGACAGAGTAGGATGACCCATGGGCTTTCCTAGATGGGCGAGAGCATTTGTGCATGTGGCTGCTAACCGAAAGGTTAGTAGTGTGAATCCACCAGCTGCTCAGGAGAAAGCTGTGGCAGCCTGTGCCCATACAGATGGCTGCCTGTGGGGCAGTTCTCTTGTCCTCGGGGAGTCAGTGGTCAGCAGTCCAGCTAACAGCTGACAAAACAAACAACCATATCAGTGTGAATGCGGGGGAGAGCAGAGTGGAGACCTAAAGCCCATCTGTAGACCATTGGACATCCCCTTACAGAAGGAACAGCCAGGGTGCAGTATAGCACTGAGGAAACACAACATTCCTCTAGTTCTTTAATGCTTCCTCCCCTACCACCTCCCATACCCTCACTATCATGACCCCCGTTCTACCTTACAAATCTGGCTAGACCGGAGCACGTACATTTTTGGTACAGATAAGAGCTCTTGACACATTGAATCCAGGACAGATAAACTCCTCAGGAACAGTAATGGGAGTAGCGATACCAGGAGGGTAGAGGAAAGGTGGGAGGAGAAAGGGAGAACAGATAGAAAAATATAACTCCCTCCCCACACACAGGGTGGCGAACAACAAAAACATGGGTAAAGGGAGACTGGATGGTGTAATATTAAAATAATAATTTATAACTTACCAAAGGGGTGGGAGAGTAGAGAAGGGAGGAGCTAATGCTAAGGGCTCAAGTAGAAAGAAAATGCTTTGAAAATGATGATGGCAGCGTATGTACAAATGTGTTTGACACAATGGGTATATATATGGATTATTGTAAGATCCCCCAATACAATGACTTAAAAAAAAAAAAAAAGATACTAACCAAGAAAGTGCTTGGGAGCAGTCAGTTCTCCTTCAGCACCTGGGGTGCCTCGAGCCCCAGCCCCCTCCAGGGGAGCAGGCTTGGTTGGGACTCCGGCTTTTCAGACCAGAGCCATCACCCCTTCTTGTGAGGCAGGCTCGCCATCACATTGACCTCTGCCCTTTTCAGGGCCTGACACCTGTTGTTGAGGGCCTGACCCCAACCTGGCTCACTTCCCTGGAGGATCTGGGAACTTGGGGGCCTCCCTGTGTCCTCACACAGGGCTGCCCTCGACCTAGAGCAGCCCCGTGCAGAGCCCCAGAGGCTGCCTGCTGGCCGCTGACCGCACACTGTGTCTCCTGCAGACCCAGACTCCAGCACAGACATCTTCTGCCACATGATGCCCTTCTACAGCTATGATGTCCCCCACACCTGTGGCCCGGACCCCAAGATCTGCTGCCAGTTTGACTTCAAACGCTTGCCTGGCGGGCGCATCAACTGCCCCTGGAAGGTGCCACCCCGGGCCATCACAGAGGCCAATGTGGCTGAGAGGTACTGTTTGTGCCCCACAGGGGAGTCGGGAGGCCTTCAGCCTCACTCTGGCCATGGGGTGGGGGGGGCCTTGGCTCTCAGGGGTGGTCCCCTGGGAAGCAGAGGGGGCTGTAAGGAAGCACCTCCCCCAGAGCGTTTTTCTCCAAGTGCTTACGTGTCCTGACATTGTCAGAGCCAGTTGACTAATTCGGAGTGAGTGATTCTGAAATCCGGTACACGTCCCTGTAGACCAGTAGTTCTCAACCTGTGGGTCGCGACCCCTTTGGGGGATAAATGACCCTTTCACAGGGGTTGCCTGATCCATACCAGTGGCAAAATTACAATTATGAAGTAGCAACGAAAATAATTTTATGGTTGGGGGGCGGTCACCACAAGAGGAACTGTCTTAAAGGGTCAAGGCATTAGGAAGGTTGCGAACCACTGCTATAGACTGTAAGCTAATAAGCCCTAATTTCACTTGGGTGCTCTGACTTGGCTCCCAGCCAGCCAGCACCCTCAGAGGTCAGCAGACTGGGGGTCCCATTCTCCAGGACATATTCAAATGTCCCACAGCCCCAGCCCACGGCCTCAGCTGCCAACGGCTTGGAGCTTGTTTTCTTTGAGAAAACCTATTGGGACTTGGACAAAACTCACTGTTGCCAATTGAGACTGAGGTGCAACCAAGGACGGACCTTAATGTAGCAAGTGGAACTGGTTTTCATGTTGCAGTCCTCCCATTTCCACGCCAACTAGGAGGTGAAGCATGGGACCCAAGGCAGAAGAAAGTGGTCTTTTGTTTGCAGACCCCAGACCCCTCAATGCAGATTGCAGGCCAGAATCTAGGGGAGTTGCAGGCTGGTTTTCCTTAGCACAGCCACCAGGCTCTAAAGACGCCACCGAGACTGACAGCGCAAGCCAGGAGAGGGGACTGCGTGTGGCACGAGATTGACCCATTCAGGCAAGGTGGTATTTTGAAGCATCCTCTCTTGGTATCTTTGAGAACAGAATTCGGAAAGTACAGCAACCGATTTTTGTTTTGTTTCAATACGTAGTTCTTACTGTGTGCCAGGCTGTTTTTAAAACGCTTTATAGATATCACCTCATTCCATTTACTTTAGCACTCTCCGTGTTAATTAGTGTAGACAGGTACTGGTTTTGTAGCAGTGGGGCACAGAGAGGTGACTTGCTCAAAGTC